TGAATATGCAAATGGTTCCATAACTTCATTCCTTATTTCCTCTTTACTGCTTAAGCTTTAACCCTTTCCTATACCAACTATATGCGTGTGTGTGTGAGTATGTTAGACCAGTTTAAGTGTTTATGTAGTATGTTGGACTAGTTTAAGTGTTTATGTAGTTAATAAAGTCTTACTTGTATCACACTTGACGTTGTTCATTGTTTGCTCATAACTGGAGTCACTTAACGTTCTTAGAATTGACAGACAGTTGACCCTGAGATGTCAGCTAAATATCTACAGCGGATCTAAATATTTATAATTAATTATAACTAGTTATGATTAATTATTCATATTTCCCCATGAGCTGATTCACTACACATGTCAGCTCTGTTAACGCCCTTTACCAAAAATGATGCTGGAATAGCAATATGTAAAATTTGTTTGGCTGAAATATCAAGAGGCGGCTCGCTGCTGAAGAACTTTACTATGACTGGTAGTTAATTTATGACCTGAGAACACGAGTTCAGTTACCCAATTACCCAAATTTAATTCCTAAAACATTAGTTTTGGTTTTCAGATAAACAAAAGCATTAGTGTTTTTTAAGATTAAGTTCAGTGCGTTGTTACTGTGAAGTGCAATAAAACAACATTCATATATGGAGGTGCAATGCAATGCAACTGACTGAAAATTAACCTCATACCAGTAAAAAAAAGAAAATATACATGTATGCTGTGTCCCAATTCACCTACTATGCCCTAAAAATCCTGTATGTACTCATAATTACGTCTTTAACAGACCGCTCTGTTACTTAGCAACGTGCATCATGCTACCATTTAAACTGCCCTGTCAATCATCTTGTCACAGTTAACATCATCCATATTTTGTTTAATTTGATTTCCTACCAAACTGGAGAGAAATGAAGAGGCACGTTGATCTGCCAGTCGCAGGTCTATCAGGTCGAGAACTCTCCTCATGTGCTTGCATAATGGTGCATTTAAAACGTATCTTTATAAAGTTCACAATGTTGTTGCAGATGAAACATAACGTTCAATACTGATTATTAATCACTCAAACCCCTTTCTGTACCTGTCCTTCGGACTCACGTGTCCGCCATGTTTGTAGTTTTGAACACTTTTTATTCATGCTTGTAGTTCTTTACCCTTGTCTAATGTGCAATAGGTTGTGCTCGATATTAGATGTTAGAGTTTGCACAGATCTGCACTAAACCATCCGGGTACCTTTGGGATACTCATTTCAACATGCTATGATTTAGGACACTGCGTTAGAAAACTGGAAAATGCTGCCTTCGGAGGACACATTTTAAGGTAGGAAGGGATCAAGGCACGTTCAAATCCAAAGTTAGCTTCACTTTCTGCCTCCTGAGATACCTTCATCTAGTCGATTTTTGAAGGCAGCATAGATCTTCACTGCCTTTGATATCCCACAATCCTGTGCAAGCTGGTGACTGAAAGTTGCGTTTGGTGGTCAGTTTGTGTGTAAATATATGATTCTGACTAACTTTTTGCACTTTTGGTGTTATTTTTAGCGAGAGATCAATTTTATAGTAATTAAATATTCACTTAGTTATCACCAAAGCTCGTTCTTTTTTGTTGTAGATCATTAAATGGTTACACTGCGTCAGAAGCATATCCGAAATCAGTTTCGTGAGGTGCCTTCGTGTGCAAGCGCTGCCTATAAAGTCATTGCCTGATAAGGCAGCGAGGCAGCAAGTCAGGATGGATTTTGGATGGATAGTGAATTGGGACGCAGCAATAGAGTATTTGTAGATTCTTGAAGAGCTCATTGTAATCTTTCAGTGTTGCTGTGGAACTGTTTACAAATAAAGCATCATGTATTAAAGCTTGTGCGAGTACAATATGTGTTTGTTTCCACTGAGGACGAGTACAGATCCTCCAAATGTCGATCTGACTAATAAAAGGAGGCTCTGTTCTCTAGTAAAACCTCCCATGACCTAAATTTATGTGGGTTATTGAGTCACTGGTTTAAGGGGATTTGAATGCTGGGCTTTTAGACGAGCTCTATTGATGGGACGGGGCACTTTATGTCAGTCCAGTCAGGGTAAAGTCATGAGAACTGCGTCAGAGTCACTTTGCTCCTGCAGCGCCTGCTGGGAGCCGAATCTCGTGCGGCCTGAGAGCCAAAACAACAAAAGCACTCTGGAGGGTTGAGGTTTCTCTGCACACTGAACATTAATCCACGGAGAAAACAAACAGATGAGATGAGTGCACTGGACTGATGAATACAGCGGTTTGAAGGCCTACACGAATGATTCAATGCATTGATGATGGCACAGCGATCGCTCTACAGTTCCTGCCAAAAATGCTTGAGGTTGTGGGTCTTTTTCTCTCTACGGAGAAGATTGAGAAATTCTTTCTGGTCTATTTTTATCACCATCATTATCAACTATCTGAACGACATAGCATAAATCATTTGGGGTTCGTGCTGTATACGTTTTCCACATTTCAGTGAGTGCAATAGAGAAACCCTGATTAATGCAAGGATAGACTTGTTTTGCTATTAAGACTCTTCCCCAAATGACCACAATCAGCTGTGAAACAGGATCCATCCACTCACCATCCCTGCACATGTCGACAGGGCCACGGATGAGTTGACCTCTGACCTCAGCAGCCCGTGGTAGAAGCAGAGGTTGTCTTGAGGAAAAGGCTGCAGGCTCTTGGTGCCGCTCCTGCCCAGGGTTTGTACGGTGAAGCTGGGGGCGATCAGGTCACATGACGGCTGCAGGTCCAGGTGGAAGTCCTGTCCTAATCCACGCAGCCTGAAGTGCACAGCGAGGTCGTGATCTTGACCCTCCGTGGAGCGTTTCCTGCGGTGATGGTGGGCCACGGCATGGGAAACGTATCGCCCTTGATGGTCCACCTCGTATGGGGCCACGATTTCATATTCTACATAGAGGAGGAAGTGAGGTCATTACAAGCTGGAGTTGAATGCACTATTTCTGTTCAGGTATACAATCGATCGATCTAATATGTGACCCTGGACCACAAAACCAGTCATAAGGGTAAATTTTTCGAAAATTGAGATTTATGTATCATCTGAAAGCTGAATAAATAATCTTTCCATTGATGTATAGTTTGTTAGGATCGGACAATATTTGGCTGAGATACAACTATTTGACAATCTGGGGGTGCAAAAAAATCTAAGTATTGAGAAAATCATCTTTAAAGTTGTCCAAATGAAGTTCTTAGCAATGCATATTACTAATCAAAAATTAAGTTTTGATATATTTACATTAGGAAATTTACAAAATATCTTCATGGAACATGATCTTTACTTAATGTCCTAATGATTTTTGGCATAAAAAACCCCCGATAATTTTGACCCATACAATGTATTTTTGGCTATTTCTACAAATATACCCCAGCGACTTAAGACTGCTTTTGTGCTCCAGGGTCACATATATCTGCGTAAAAATCTTTACACCATCACACTTTACATTAGGTGGCCTTGACTACTATATACTAGCACTAATGGATTAATGGACTATAGATTTACGGTGAAACTTCATGTTATTTTGGAAAATTCCCAGATTTACTGTTAATGAGTTTGAGGTATGGTTAGGTTTTGGACTAAAGGTAAGGTTAGGGTTATAAGGTTCTGAGTTAAGGTTAGGGGTGAAGTTAACAGTGTAACTACAAATGTTCATTAAATGCTTTAAAGTAGTTTAAATGTACCAACATGTATGTGCGTAAGTATATTGGATCAAATGGCTAAGGCCACTTAATATAAAGCGTGACCAAATTCTTTTTTCCCAAGAGAACTTTGAAGATTAGTTTTCTGAACACCCTGTCTTCCATTGCTCAACAAACAGATAGTACCATCGCTTGTATTTTTTTATTTTGTTTTGCTTGTTAAATGCAAATAATAAGAATAACATGTCTCTACTTTTATTATACTGTATGTTGTATTCATTTTGAAAGATTACAGTGATGTAAATCCCATAATGGAATACGTGAAGCTTATACTAAGTGGGTGATGTTGACACGGTTAAGCCTTGTTAGGTACACCGGTCATTTTTCAGCTTTCACTAACATGCTCGAAACTCACTTTACTAGCTGAGTCAATGTTGGTCAAGATGCTCAAGCAAATGTTACACTCTTTTAGTGGAGATCAGCCTGCAAAAGTCTGAATAAGCTGGGAAAGAGTTGGGTATTTAATATTTTAAAAAATGTCACCTTTAAAAAGACATTTTAAAACTAGTACGCAGTAAAAATGATTTTTCGATGTTGTACAAACAAAGATTTTTGGAGCACTTTGTACAAGAAAACACTATTTTAGTCTTCCTACTTCACAATTTCACATTTAATTCAATGTGTTACTTGCCGTTTCTTTGTTATTATTTGTGAAATTTCCAAGGAATTTCTGCTTGAAAATTGTTTCAACACCAGATATAAATGTCTGGCTGCAGTATATAGTCCAAACACAGATATTAAAGGGAATGAACTGAGAACATTAAAAAGTCATTTATCATTTAATATTCACGTCATGATAAAAAAAGACCACATCTAGCAAATGCACTGTTGTTATTGCATAAAATAAGTAACTGTATCCATATAAATGCAAGCTGAGGTGATTTATAGGAAGGTCCATGGAGATGCTGCTCACGGGGTAAAGGTCAGAGGACGTGTTTTAATGTTGTGTGATTCTGACCTCCACATACACTCACGCTCCTCTCATCCTCGCGGTGGTCTGGTGGCTCAAGTTATAAATGCTTTTACAGACATGAGCAGACAGATTTATGATCTCTGACCGTGGGGTGAGACACACACTGATGACACACACTCTTAATGCTCCGCTGTGATATGGAGACACACGCTCTCACTCTCATTCTCTTTCACGCACACACACACACACACACACACACACACACACACACTATTATATCTGGCTACTCCAGTCTCTAAGCTGATGCCAAACAGTGCAGAGACTCTTCACAGGATAAAGGCAGTAAGTGCACACAGAGACTGTTTGTAAAGCTTGGCTGATTGATGGAGAGCTTCTTCAAGTGTCTGCCTTTGTTCATTGTTCACTAAGTCCCAGTGCATGCCAATCTTTACGCTACACCCCCCCCCCCCCCCCCCCCCCCCCCTGTGGGGGTGTGG